AATTGTTTTCATTACGTTTAGAGCAAGTTTTCATCACGCTATGGTGATTTTTTAGCGTTTTCGTGGAGGTACCAACAAAATATAAACAGCAAGTAGTAGACAGAATATACAGGCGATATGAAAAAAAGAGAGAGCCTAAGAGGCGAGCAACAACGAATTGGAGATGTCAACATCAAGCAACTACAGGAGTTTAACTATCTGGGAAGGGTTTTAACAGCTGATGGAAAATGTGACATAGAAGTCCGAAAGCATATTCGAGTGACGAAATATGTTTATGAAGGCTAAACAAAGTATTAAGAGACGGGAACATTTCATTACAAAGAAAAATCTTATGCGATAATGAATGCCGGACAATTTTCTCACAGATGAAGAGATGACTTTTGGAAACAAAAAAGATGAACCGACGGAAACAACGAGTGACTAGGATAGGAAGTTGTAGAGAGCCATAATCGTCCACAACTTGAAGGGAAACGGTACGTAGAAGGACAGAGAAAAACATGTCTTTTGAGAGGGCAATAAAACCTCAATGTAACTGCAGAACATAACGCATACGTACAATTATCTCCGGTCCATACTCCTTCCCGGTCTTTTGAACAACAAGAGAAGATTATTATAGGATTGGGTTTCAATTTCCTTCTAAAGTCTTTTCATTCTCTTTCACTCCCAGTAGCCCTTGCGTCTTTGTGACATTATCGCCTGCTTGGGGGTGAATTGATTTAAAAATGTAATTTGGCTTTACAAACAACTATTGTGAAACTTACAATAATCAAATACGTTCCTATCGTTATTTAATGAAGTTACAAGTTTATCGAAAAATCGATTTAGAATTTTGGTTGAGGTTGTTTCAATTCACTTAGCATTAATAATATCAAATCACCAGACATTTTTAGAAAAAGGTTCTTGTCTCTGGTATGTTAATTGTTGGATCAGGTGAACCAGCAATAATTTTAATTCAAATAAGAAACATTATAAAAGGTTTAATAATGATTAGTCTAATAATCATTTCATTTTGTACTAAGTAAAATGTCCCTTTCTCTTTCTGTACTAAGATGGGTTAATTTTAAATGTATTCCATCAAAAATATTTAACAAAATTAAAGATTTCACCTTTCCTCGTCGAAAACTAACAGTATATTCCTGTTACTAGGAGTATTTTGCTGTTGTTGAATTACGATTAAAGCTTGTATATCTAAACTCAAAATTGGAAAATTACTCACCGCTGTAACTTAGGTTCCCTTTCTATAAATACTTTCATCGTAAATGTTCTGATGAACTTTCCTCTATATGTCTAGACTCTATGAATCTATTAATAGATTGGTTGCAAGATCTCATCATTTTACAGTTAAATACTAGCTGAAACCGTAAGTTCTATGCTAACAGTTTATTTTCTCGCACTTCTAGCTTGTGGAAGTCTCTTGCGGTTTCTTGCTTTCCAGTCAAGTTCAATAATTTAAATACAATGTCAACAGTGTCTTCTTCATTTATCTTCTTCTATTGTTCTTGCTCTTTAATGATGTTTTATTTTTCTTATATTTTTTCATATTCAGTAAATCCTTGCACCTTAGCAGTTTTGTTAAAATGATTAAAAAAATTTAACTTTTCTAACGAAAGAAAAAAGCGTTACTATATAAGCAGCTCGTCTGATGCCATCCACCAAATAAAAGGAATAAATCTGAAGAAACATGACACCCAAAGTGTTTTGTGTATTTCAAGAATCTACGCGTCTGATAGTGTTTCAAGATACTTTTCTATCGAACAAAATACCAAAAAAAAAAAAAAAAAAAACTGTGTAAGCAGGCAGGAAGTTTAGAAGTATTTACACCCCCAAACACTCCGCCATATGCGATGGAAACTTATAGGGATAAGTAGTGAGAACCGAACTGCGAGACTCGCTTTTGTACCATCGATTTTCCTCATGTGTTCCTGCCTTCTATCATATTTATATTCATAGTTATTCTTGCTGGATAGCTGGCATTGTATGGAAACAGAAGTACTAATTTTGAGGCTATTTAATATTTTACATGTATTAAACCTGGCGATCGTTTAGACGTCACGCTACTTTCTACTTATTGCGTTTCCTCTATGGTCACGTGGTCTACTTAATTCAATAATGGGATTGCCTGTGTTTGCTCACTGATGATCTATGTTCAAAGTCAAGTGTCAATCGCGACACTTTATTTCTATATAACACATACCGAGTTCAAATTCCAGTCGAGGCTATTATGTTTTGCTTTCGTAAAAATACCCTTAGAATCCATCTCTTTTCCCCTCTCAGATAGAGTCTAATCGCAAGGCAGACATTATGCTGTTGTTGGTAACCACTCTAAGAGAATGAAAACTATGAATTCAAAACCAGCCTGAAGAAGGATAGGCTATGTTGCCCTCAGCACATTTACTGCTGCTACAGCTGCAGTATATATGTTGTCCCTACTACCGTAAAGGATAATGGGGACTAATCTGTTATTTTAATATATTTTTATTATTTTAATTAACCTTTTCTTTCAAACTTCTAACAATATTCTAGGAAGAATACTTGTTTGTCTGAATCTGAATACTAAATTCATACATGTAAGTGTAGATCAATAAGTTCATAATTTAATTATAAACCATGTAATGTCGAACGTTATACAGTGAAAAATCCAGATAAAAATTCAGTTAATAATTTGATAATATATAGACTTACTGGTATGCATAATTGCATAATATGCAAACTTACTGATCCACCTTCCTATATGCAACAATGTGACAAAAACTGAATACCATATATAGAAACAACAATTTTGCATATCGCGTTCCATACAGCACCCTGTACATCAATACACATACGTGTCTCCACCGAGAAGAATACAGCAACACGTAAAAACTATTTTCTAGAAGTTTTCAGTAATTAATATTATGTGAAATATAAAGTATTATATGTACATAACCGAATGAAATGATATAATTCTTGCAATTAAATAACACTGACAAGAAGAAGAATTTTAACAACTTTTATCAGTTCAGTTGCCTATTAATGAAATAAATACAATTCGACTAACATTCTTTATAGAACCTTTGCTTACCAACAAATATAAAAAGGAACCTATAATTTTTATTTAGTTTAGAATGAAGCAATTCTGTGATTGTTTTTCATTAATTTCTGTTTGAATTACACTAGGAGAAGGTAAGAAGTTTCTAGAGTAGGAGAATAGCAACTAAAAGTCTAAGGTTCTCGTTCAAGTGCTGCGATACTGAATGTTCGTCTACATAGTTTCGATTAAAAGGACTAATTTTAAAGTGGTATAAATTATGCCAGATTATATTATGCAAATCAATGTTTAACCAACCGATTTTGGTAAAAATTTCTAAAGATATTTTTTATGATTATCATAAATTTCAGGTCTTAATTTGCTTGTATTTAAAATATTTACAATAACGCATCTGGTGCCGTAAGATTTTATTATGGAGAGAGTTGTTCGTCATATTGTTCATAGATAATTTAATAGTTATTGATATTTATTTTTTTAATTTCCGACATATAAACATTTCCATGGGTCGTAAGGAAGATGTAAACTCTAAAGAAAAACAAAATTTCTTGAGTGATAGGAATACAACGTTTGGAAATTACGAAAAACGTTTAACAAAGATTACAAAAAAACAAAACAAAACAACACCCCCCCCAAAAAAAAACAAAAACACAAAACAAACAAAAGGAAATTGAAAGCATCGACAAGATAAAAACAAGAAAAAATGTTTTTTTTAAGAATGTTACAAAAGAAATTTAAAAATGAAATATGATTACTCAACAATAATTGTTGGTAATGGATGGACTGGATGTCTGAGCGAGATGTTGGATCCTTCAGTTAACCAACCAACACAACTTAGAAGTCAGCAATAGGATAGATATATGAAGTCATCTAATCCCCCAGCTATAAGTTCAATAATAAGAAAAAAAGTGTTATTTTAAAAAAAAATGCAATATTCTCTCGCAAAAATAAAAGAATTATTCCTACAATACTAAATATGTTTAGCCGTAAAATCAAATCAATCATAAATAGTAGAGTAATGTTTTAGGACAGTACTTTAGGCAGTAAAATTATAGTTCCGTTCAAAGTTGATAACTTGTCTTGTTAGATTAAAATGAATGAGTAGTGAGTTCAATCCTCACTGTATGCTCCTTAAACTCGGTCTTGTACCATATCTAAGATACACTTAGTAAATACTATATATCCTGAAATATCATGAAAGTTTTATAAACACTGGTTGGTTAATCCTAATTCTATAATGAAGATATTGACTTACATAATACAATCTGATATAGTGTAAAGGCCCATTTTTTTAAAATAATTTAATAAAATATACGATAATCATGTGCTATTAAAAATTTTCTCGCTATGGCCCCCTTTTTGTTTTATATTACTAATTAATAAAGGTTATTTGGGGCATTAGAAATCTCAATTCGAATACCATAAGAAGATAAATTTTCTTTCACGGTTTTACTTATTATTAAACAAAACAAAACATCAATGAATGTGTTCAAAAATGAGGTGTTTGTAGAGATTTACGAAGATTAGCTTAGTCTAGGAAAATGCTACAACATGTGCTGAGTGAAAATTGAAGTTAGAAGACATGTTAACGAGAGTAGTTTGCGAAATTATCTCTCCACAACAGTAGATATTTCATCTGGCACAGGGTCATGCTTGTGGCTTTCTCAGAGAGGATCGAACTTACTCGATTAGAGAATAGCGTACTAATCGTCAATCAGCAGCTGGAAGAAAAATAGAAAGAAAATGGAAGAAAAAGTTTGTTTTTAAAGTTTTTAAAAGACTGGACTGGAAGAATTGAAAATAATTGGACCAACAGATTTGCAATTTATTCTTAATATTTGATGCTGAGTATTAATATTTCGTTTCTTTTATTTAGGTACGCAAAAGGAGCAAGTCCCACAGCCACTTGATTGAGGGAGACATAATAATAAAGGTTAATGGAATCCCAGTTCAAGGAAAAAGTCATGAAGCGGTTATGGATATGGTTGATACTACAGTTGGACCTGTTCTCAGTTTGGAAATCTACAGGTAAGTTTTAATGCCATTGCATCATAGATTTTATACTTATAAACCCTTTTTTTATGAAACAAATCTTTCATATACTTTTATACTTTCATATCTTTTGGCAAAATTAATAATTTTTTCTATACCTTTTAAGCCTGTTAAAAATAAAATAGAAATGCTTTAAAGTACTTTCAAATATTTTCAATAATACTTTCATTCGGATTAGGAGTTTTTAAATGGAAGGATTGAAGAGTATTTCATATGATCGTTTACAGGGTGTCATGGAGAAATTGTCGCCTAAATTACGCAAAAATGAAAATAACAACGACATCTCATTTTAACCGATATATTTACCAAAATTACACAAAAAATATCTTGAAATACTAAAGAGTAAATCTATTCAATAAATTCGCCATTGTCATGTTCACCCACATCCAGACGATTTTGGAAACTCCTGCAAATTTCTGGATAGTCTCCTTGTTTAAGTTGGTGAATGCTGCCATAATCCTTGTCTTCAGTTCATCTTTGGTGTTACAAGGAGTTTTGTTGGTCTCTTGCTCAACATAGAGGTTGTAGTCTGGGGAGTAAGGTGTGATATGGTCGCAGAAATTGTCTGGCAGCCAAGACTGGGTACTTCTGCTCATGTGGTATAGTGCAGAGACCTGTTGCGAGACATAGTATCTTCCAGCAGCCACCCTCTTGACCCAGTTGGCACTACCTCTTCATGGCACTTAATGTAGTACGTCGTGTTGAGTCTGAGGCCCTGTGGGAAGATAAATGGAGGCATAACGTCGCCATCATGAGTGATCACTCCAAATACCATGATGTTAATAGGATTTATCTTCCAACTATTTCCGAATCTTCTGCACTGTCCTCTGATTGACATCCAGACACTCTGAAATGGTCGTATTGGATCTTCTGGTGCGAATGCCAAGTAGTACAGCATGTTATTTCCAAATTTCTGGCAGAATGAATTGCGTCATGGTACTTTTATTCTCACAGACGGTGCCCAACTGACCCATACTGTGCAGTTAGCAAAATCAAAAACAATGTGCATGCGCGAAATTAAAAATATAAAATGGCGACAATTTACCTATCGCACACTGTATAATATGTTTTTTCCTTGAAGCTATATTATTAATGTATTTCTCTACCCTGACCGTGCGTATGCACGCGTAAAAAATTAAATCGAGCAAAATAAATATTGTGATTACTTGATTTCTTTTAAAAATCTATTTTCTACACAAATTATATTTTAGATACTTTAATCTATTTTTGTGGCCTTTGAATATATGTTTTCATTATCAAAATATTCAGGGAATGCAAAATATTATTATTTGTTCACACTTTGTATGTTCATTTGACGTTTGTGCCATTCCTTCTGTGCAGAGCTTTGTATTGTTGCGCGACTGTCACCATATCTTACTGCATATATTTGGGGGTTGAGCGAAGAACAAAACTAGTCCTAGAAATGTAAATAAGAGAAACACACGAAAAAATGAGCCGTACGATCATTATCCATTTAATCTGGTAAAATGACGAATGTCAACAATTACGAAAGGAAAAAAAAACTATTGTTAGTGTCAATGTTTCTGTCAAACAGACAAATCAGTTCAAATAACTTCACTTTCTTCCCTCTATCTCACGAGTGAGAAGGTCAATTTCTTTTTGTCAATTCTGTTTGTCATCAGGTGACACTATTTAGCAGATCGCTTTTCTCTCTATCTTTTCTTGTCAGTACATATGACCTGTTAATTCATATGACCCTTTCTACCGTGGTCATTGTAATCGTACGATTGAGCTTTAAAATTCGGTTAACTCTTTTAGTCACGTAATCTTACTGAACCCTACTCCTGCTGGCATACTAATATTATACATCGTATTGTCAGCATATTACTTCAATAATCATACAAGTATGTTTTAATTCAAATTTTTTGCTAACACCAAATTATATGTCGAAACTCATTGACGTTGGTTTATATAGTTAATTTCAATGGCTTGTTTTGATTCATAAAATAATTTAATGAATGAGAAAATAAGTTCAAAATAGTCTTAATCATCCAATTAGTGATACTGTAGTGAACAAAACAAGATCTAGATTTAAAATTCAAATGCTAAGCACTGACTCATTGATTTTGTTAGAAATTAAAAAGACTCGAATTTACAAACTTTGCTTAACACACACGCAAAAGCGAATCCAAAACAAAATTCGTGCAATCAGTCAGTGCTTAGCATTTGAATTTTAAATCTAGATCTTATTTTGTTCAATACATATATAGGTCCCCGTTCAAATAACGGAGTGTAATTCTGTGCATTTTTTTTGTTTCAGTAGTAAAAATATGTGTTGTGTTTTTCCCATTTAATGGTTCTACCGGTTTTTCTTATAGTTATTTTTTTTCATCATGAGCTCCATCGATATGAGATTGGGAATCGTTCAATTCCAGATTTCTTTCGACAAGATCTCTTGACTTTGTATTTTTAGAAATATATGCTGGTTTTAGTCTGTTAATGGAAACATTATTATGCACATTTTCAGATATTTTGACCGTAAAATATTTGTCATGTCGGCTTATTACCTGGAATGGGTCTGTGCATGGCCCTTTTAAAGGCTTTCGTACTCTGTCCGTTCTTAGCCAAATATATTCAGTTTTGTAAAACTTTAGGAATATATGACTTATGTGTAGTGTGTAAATGTCCGCTGGAAAAAATTTCCATATCAAATTTTTGCATCTCTTCAGCTAAAGTCTGGATGTGAGAGTTTGTTAGTTCTATGTCTTCATCTTTAACACGATCGATTAACAATCGCGGAGCTTGACTTCCTGTTAATGCAGAAATAGAGAGATACCGAGTGAATTTTCGTTCGTTGTATTCTGGTATCTTTGCGGCTGTCGATGGCTTTCTCTAGACACTTACTGGATATGTGTTGTTTCTTGTCTGTTAAAGTACAGAAGAAGGTCATCGGTCATTTTTCGTAACCGATCTATTTCCAGATCTGTTTGCGCAGCTATCACTGGTTTTATAGAAGGCGGCTGCGCTTGTATAAATTTATGTCGCACAATATCTTCATTTCTATGCGACTGGCTAACGAGGCGGTAGAGAACTTGGAGAGGGGAATTAACAGGAGATAACTGATAACTGACATCCATTAGACATGGCAGCGAGCGAAAGAAAGGGTTCAGTTCGACATGCCAACTACCTGAAGAAGACCGGAGCGTACATTGGCAGAAACGTTGTGATAAATATGGCAACAAAAATGACGACAATAGTCTGAATAATGTAAATAGTGTACGTTTATTAATCTTTTCAATTTTAGATTCGTAAATTTCGTTTCCACTTAATTACTATATCACATCTAGGAAATAACCCAATACAGAATTTTACACGATTTTTAAACTATTATAAATTATTACAATTAAAATTTAAAAAAATGAAAAAGTTCTTGTAAAAATTCATTATTCATTGGAAAAATTTTATTTCTTCAGACAATAGTGTCCTTAATATAACTTATTTACAAAAGTAATTAAAAGCTTTTCTAATTAAATAATGTCATAGTTTTATTGCATTCATTATTTTTCAATTTAGAGCAGAATTTTAGTTAGAATAGTGCAAGTTTGAAAAAAAAAAAGATGAGATGATTTACATTCTCCAAGGAGACCTACTTTTAATGAATAAAAAATTAGGCAAATAAAAGATTTTTTGCGAAATTTCATGAAATTAAATAACTGGAACGTAAAAAATATCTTTTCCCAAAATTTTCTCAAAAAAGATAATTTCATTCATTTGTGAATAATAATTTTCATTAAAATCGGACAATTATTAGATTTTTACGTGAAATTCCAAATCAGTATGTTTTCAATGGAAAAAAGTGCAAAGAAGTCAATGTTATTATTATGCCATCCCGATGCCCGATGACGTAAACAAAACAAGAATTTAACCAAAATTTCGAACGTGTTAGAAAGGGTTAAAAATTTTTAAAAATAATAAAAAAATACTTTGGTCTTTCATCTTAATAATAACATAAACATTTTAACGATAAAACTTTATTTTTATTAAGTTTGTGGCCTTTTTTATTACGCTATACTGTAAAAAAAGTGCGCGGTACCTATACTTTAGCAACAAAATAGCAGCAAAATAAGTTAATTTTCAAAGATATTGCAGTTAATAAAAATATATCATGACTTCTTCCATTATTGTACATCATTCGAATCTCTATTTTATATATTAAAATATTAGAATTTAGTGGTTAGGAAAGAAGAAGGAAAATTATCTCGCGATATGTAATATTTTTAAATAAATTTCAGTCTTTTTCGTTATATTTTTCTGTTTGTTAAGGTATGAACAAAATTGGTTTCCGAACAAAACCGTTATGCACGTTTTATGGTAAAATAAAATCGAAATATTTTTGCCATTACATAAATTAACCATTCTTTAAAATTACGATAAAAAAATTAGTTCTTAGTAGTTTATGCAGCTAAATAAATTAAATAGTGTCTGCATAAAAGTTGTATTTGCGCGTAAGTGAATGTAACGAACCTGAATGTTGGTAGCTTGTTAACACCGAAAATATATTGTTTGTTAAAATATCTCGTTCTCCAATTTCAAACTGAAATACGTCAGTTTAATGCAATTTTAGTTTAAGTCAGTTTAACTCATACGTTCCCTTGTTTTTAGAGAGCAAAATTAAAAATAATGAATATAATTTTTTTTTGGTAAAATCATGAAAAGAAACATTGTTGAAAAATAACTTTTTAAACAAATATGACATTTTTACTGTTTTATTTGCCTCTTAGGGGAGAATCACTACACAAAATTCCTAAGAAAGCTGCAGTTCCAACTCCCTTGGCTGCCGTATCTCCTGCTTCTCAAACGTCGACTACATCCTCCGTCCAAATGTCGGAACATGCCCAGCATCAGCATACAACGGAAGAAAGTATGTTTCAGAAGAAGATTTCCAAACAGCAGATGAGCCAGCAATCAAAGTCTGTTCTCCAACAGCAGCAGCAACAACAGCAAGTAGCGAAAAGTAACATAGTGTTGAAAAATCAAGTCCAACCACAGCAGAAAGTTACTCAAATTCAGCAAAGTTCACAATGGCAGGAAACGAGTAGTCAGCAGCAGCAGCAGCAGATTATGCAGCAGCAACAAAAGTCTCAGCAGCATCAACAATTAATGGCTGAGCAAAAGGAATTGGCCCAGCAGCAATTTGCTGAACAACAGATGGCACGCAAGCAATTGGCGCAGCAACGACAAATGGCGCAAAAGAAATATAATATATCTGATCAACAAAGCATGCAGATGATGCACAATACATCATCTAGTGTTCAGCAAAACGAGTTAGTGCAGGAAGATCAGACCACTAGTGTGAGCACTGCTCTTTGGACTTCTGGCCAGGCTTCCAGTTTGGATGAGAAACAGACAGAATTAGTACATCACGCTTATACAAGCGCTCCCAAGCCCTACAAGCCAAAAGTTGCCAGTCATCTACCTTTACGTGAATCTCCATTCACTCCAACTAAACCTTCTCCACCTCCGTCATCACCGTCCCCTGCAGCACCCATTCCAGCTCCTGCCGATGACAAAGAAAATATGGCCCCATCACCAGTTCCGAAGCCTCAAGTTCCAGCCCCAAACGTTCCACATTTTAACGTTACGAACCTAAAGAATTTAGCCAATCAAAGTTGGAAGGAAATGGATCGAGAAGAATTGAATATTCCTATTCCAGATTATTCGAAAAAAATAATGATTCCTACTCGTCCAGCGAAGGAATCGTCTCCACCAGTCGTGAAGAAAACTATTAAGATTCCTGACATGACAATCAAACCAGGTCCACCTGTTGCGCCAAAGCCGAAAAGGGTTTTGTCTGAAGTTCAACCTGAGCCAGATATACCGGATAATGTGTTAATACCCATTTATAATGAAGATCGTCCTCATCTGCCTGTATTTGGACCCCCAGTCGTATATGGACTCAATCCAGCTTTGGTACCCAAAAGGAGTACCAGCGTTGGCGAGGAAGAGAGTGTTGTGTCGGAAACAAGTTCGGGGTCACGAAGAAGTGAGTATATACGTTGAAACAGTTCTTATTTTCCTTTAAATAACGCAGTGCAAATATTTAGGGTCATCTAGAAATTCCTTTTTCTCAAGTTTAAATCAGTTTTCATCGGTTTTGATTTGATCTATTTAGTTCTTATTTCATGAGATATAAATGCTATAAGATGGGATCAAATCAGACCTAATGATTTTTATACCATTTTTTTTGCTTTTTATCACGGTTATCAAAATATAAATATCGCATAAAATCTTTTGGCGATGGAATTGAGAATGAATCGCCTTTAAATAAAGCAATTTGAAAGCGTCTACATAGATTCTTACATTATCTCTTGTTATTGGGAAATCACTTCAATTTACAAGTGCTTAAATGTGTATTTAAACAAATCTAGTTTAAACTAAAATAATTAAGATAATATTTAGCATGATTAACTGATTTTCAAATTTTAAAACTAAGGTGAATTACATTTGGTTAAACACCAACAATATTTATATTAATCTTATGATAATAATTCTAGTTCTTTTAGTTCGATAAATTTCTGAGTTAAAATCATTAAACCTTTCACTAAAATAGTTTATTCTTGTAAAAATATTATCATGAGAAACTATATAAATCTTGAAAACTGCTCGAAGTATTAAAATCCATAAATTCAGTTTTAAATCAATTTCTTATGCTTTAAAGAATGCTTTAACTCCATCTAATCATTCTTCCTCTTACATAATATCGTCATGGATTTTTGCTGATTTATTTATAAAAGATTTATGCTAATAAAAAAATGGTATGCTTTGAAAGGTTACTAATCTGAATTATACAAGTTTCGGGTTTTAGGTATATTCCTCTTGTCTGACGTAATTGTGAATTTGAATAAATTGAGGATGTCAGGAAAGTAGACCGACTGAAATATTGCAAATAACAACGAAGGACAAGTAAACAAAGAAAATAAAATACTCTCTGTACAGTAAAGTATCAGAATTCATTTAATTTCAAATTTATATGATAAAAAAGAAGTGATAATTTAAATATTGATAATTTAAATATTGATCAAGTTTTGAATGCACGGCAAACTTAAAAATGTTTTGATTTTTTTATATGTACTTACTGCATTTTGTCTAAGGTGATTTATTACTTATTCTTTCCTTAAAATAAAATTAGAGGCCACATACACACACATTCATACGCATATATATATATATATATATATATATATATATATATATATATATATATATATATATATATATATATATAATGAAAATCTATCAAATTGTTAGCTTCCAGACAACTCATCTTCGTAGATATGTCATATCTGTGGCAGCTGATCTCTATACCGCCACTCATCATTAACACCCTACACTCGCCTACCCATTTTAGACAATTCGCCCTAACTGTTACCATGGTGATTTTGATTTCAACTTTTAAAACAAGTAAATTTCAGATATACGTTATTCCAACAAAAAACTCGCTTGAAGATGGAACGGAGCCCTTTTTAATTTCAACTCAATTTAATTTAAAGGATTATATTGAAGTTTTCGGCTCTTGTTTTGAAACATGAGACCTCTTATGTAGCGATTTGGAATCATATTTTTAAATAAATAATTATATTTATGCTCTACTTTTGTATCGAGCACTCTTTTAAAAATAATTTTTAAAAATAATAACAAAAATACTAAGGAACTTTGGACTATTTACCTAACCAGTTCCTTCCTATTTTCTATATATTTTCACATATATATATATATATATATATATATATATATATATATATATATATATATATATATATATATATAAAAACTGGCGTGCAAAGCGGTATCATAGAGCATCTTAAGCATATGATATTGAAAAATGCACTGAAAAACACTCGGCTAGCAACAAAAAACTTTCACTGTACAGCTCTTTTGTTAAGTAAAAAAAAAGGATTTAAAATGATCCTATTTATTACGGAAAGTACAAAACGTCAATGTATAAAGTTAGTAATTAGTGTTGCTACAATTGGCTGGAATAATTGCCTCAATTTGATGTGGTATTGAATGAAACAAAGTCCAGATATTCTCATTAGAAATTCTTATTCTTCTTGGCAGTAATCTCAAAACTCTGGTGCGAGTAATCCCTGGCAATATTTCTAGGCAAAAAATAATGTGTGACTTTCTTCGGAACTTTCGTTTCCATCACAATGGTTCAATTATATTGAGATCACGGCTTTGTGCTATCCAATCTCCCAATAGGTGAATATCTTCACCTACAAGAAAGCCTTTTGCAGCACCTGATGTGTGGAGCAAAAAGCATCATCATGCTTAAAGATTTTTCCCATCTTCATAGTCTGGTAGAAGATTTGACCGCAGTAAACTAACATAGTTTTCGTTGTTTAGGTTTCCGTCAAATTTTACTAATTTTCTTTTACGACCGCTTTTAGTCACCATAACATGTCCAGTACCAAATATTACCGTCTTTGTGGTGTATTTTACATTGTTTCTTTCTCCCATTGGTCTTCTTACATATTGTCTTGTAATCAATCAATAAAAATTACTTTTTACTACTTATTCGCATCCCATGTTAGATGTTCTTTTGACCACTTCAATCTTCTATTCCAGTGGTCTTTAACCTTTTTCGGCCCGCTTCCCCCTTCCAATTAGCCAACCAAGTCATTTCCACCCTTCCATAAAATGTGGCCAAAAAGAAGAGAAAGCAAGTGTTTTCATGACAACATTTCCGTTTTTATTTTACAAAAGCGGACGCTAACAAAAGACTTAATCAATGGGAACTTTGGATTTGTTTTTGCGAAGTGATCAGTATCAGTGGGAGTCCGTCCAAGATCACACCTCAAATCGGACTCACCATTCAGATGACTGCAGAAATTTGTTTTATCATTGGAAAGCACAGATAACCCCATCTCAAACAAATAAGTTGTCGAAAAATGGTCTAACACTTTCAGTGCATTGCTGCCCAGTTTTGGATACAGAACGGAGACGGACAGCAAAAACCTCTCCAGCTCCACAGCATTGCATTCATCCTTTGCAGAAAAGTCGTGGTAGAGCTCAAGGAATTGTTCCTGAAGTTCTTCTTTAACAGTTCCAACCTCACATCGAAATGGATTCATGATTAACGCGGCAACAATCCTCGGAAAATATCTTTGAAACTCATCTCGAAGAGTAGTAACGTGATCACCAATATCTTCAGCAATTCGGAATAACATCATCTCCAACACAATCGCTCAAACCCACAAAAGATGCAAAATTGTCCCTTTCCACTCGGTCCTTCCAGAGATCAAATATGGCCACAAATGCCTTGATTTTATCTGTCTGGATCAAAATGTTCATATCATTTCCTTGAAGCTTCTTGTTGATTTCATTAAGCTCACCAAAAACATCGGCCATGTAGGCCAGTCGAATTCGGAAGTCATCATTTCTCAACACTTCCAAAAGAATACTCTTCTTGTTCCTCGAAAAACAACACAACCTCATTGAACAGTTCAAGCACCCGTCCAAGTATATTACTATTGGACAGCCATCAGACATGCGTATAAAAAAAGCAAGGCATCATTTTCTGCTTCCAAATCTTGATAGTCTCGCCGAAACAGCCCCGGGTTAAGAGCAAAATCTTTGATGTAGTTGACCACTTTAATCACGATCGACAAGTCATCACGAAAGGATCTTGGAAGAGTTTTTGACTTCAAGTGCTTCTCTGTGAAGTACGCAGTGAATAGATTGGTCTAGTGAACTCTTTTGCTGAACCCGGATCTTGAACCCAACATTGCAGGTGCTCCCTTCTGTGCACACCCCAACCAAGCAATCCTAATTTAAGTTACATTCTTCAAAAAACGAGGACAAAATTTATATGACATTTCCAGCTTTGGTGCTTGTTTCGAGTGGTTGGCAAAACAGAAAATCCTCCTCAATTTTCTCTTCGTAGATATAACTTACAAAGACCAATAGTTGAGAAAGATTTGCAACATCCATTTATTTGGATTTCAAAAAAAAAAGATGACTTCTGAATTTTCTAACTCAATCGCCGCTTCATACTCTCAGTCAGATCCTCAATACGAGAGAGAATGGTATCATTCAACATTGAAATTTGCTTTCTCTTATGATAGGCAGAGTTTCTCAAGTATTCTTCGCGATCTCGTAGGCAAGTTCGCTTTCACAATTGCAGCTGTTTGGTTTTGGAAGTTTCCAGTCGCGTCTAACCTTCCTCGTTTCAAATTGGCCTCATTGAGCTTGAAAAATGCACGATCTTTGTCTTTGATTTCTGAATTTTGATCATCTTCTGCCGAGGAAAACAAAAAAAAAACCCCAAAAAACTACAAAAACAATAATGTCTAATCGGGGAAAAGTTGAACAAATATAAATTTGCACGTACGAATGGAAGCAAATATAGTTTGGACAGTAAACGATCTGATCCCAAACGGTAACAGCGACAGGTCGATTACGCCGTTAAAAAAAGACAAAAAACCACTGACTGATTGCTGAGTTGCTTGTTATAAAATTGCACAAAAGCTCAAATCACAGAAAAACTCCTTTAAAACATTCTCCCCACCTAACAACCTGAAATTTTCCAACTGGGGGAAATTTCCACCTGGTTAAGAACCGCTGTTCTATTCCGAAATGTTTTGATTACTGATGGATTTTTTATTGCTGCTATAGGTCCTTTCAAGTTGTTCTTTCGTAATACTGTGAGTACTGCATCAACTGAAACCTCACTTTGTAGACTGCAGTGACTCTTCACATTAATGTGAAGTGACTGTTAATTTGAGATTACCTGCCAAGACTCCCACAATAGTTCTCTCATCTCTCTCGCCTAACTTTTGTGGTCTTGTGGTTTTCTTTGCACTTAAAATACTTCCAGTATTAGTAACAAATGTCTTTGGATGTTTTGAACTTTTTCTAGAAGTTTCCAGTCGCCTATTTATTTGGTTGAAACATTTTCCCCTTCAAAATCACAACCTTCATCTTTGTTTCAGCAGATATTTTAGTTATGATTTGATTATATAGCCAATGTTCAACTAAAACGACTTGTCAAGTTATTTTACACTCATGTTAATAATATCAAACAATTCCTACTTAGAAATATGCATAGCATCATAAATTTATCATCTGAGATGTTTCATTGGTCTAATAGTTTTGCATGGCCTTTTTTTAGCTACAAGCTGCTTAAAGCACCGACGAAAACGCAACAACTTATTTTCCAACCCTCAAGGTTCGCAAATGAAATCATATTGCTAAACAATCTTAACTTCATAATAAAATAAAGTTGTCTAATATATTTTACGTAGTATATATATATGTATATATATATAAACACCATTGGTTCATAAAAGGATAATTAAATGTAGGAATTATTTTCGGCTTTAGTTTTCCCAAATTTTAACATTTGTCTGATTATTTCCACCGCCACTGCATGATTATAGTCATTATTTTCAAAATTTAAGACAATAAATTATTTATGAAAGGATATTTTAAAAATGTTAATCGGAACATTATAAAAAAGATTATTTGTCACAATCGTCGTTTTCTAATTTCATTTGAGTGTCATCGAGCTTTTGTCATTGTGATAAGGAAAATTGTTGAAACTTTTGTTAAATGCTATAGAGAATATTTTAATGCATTTCTCTCTTTCAGATGATCCATATTATGAAGCCAAGAAACGTAAGACATTTCACTCTTGTATATTAACTCTACAAATGATGCACATAAAAAAACAAGTCGAAATGTGCTTATGTAATAATTAAAGTGAAGGAATCAACCATTGAATATCTGAAAGTTTTCAAATTGGAAAATGAATTACCCTTTCAATAAACACTACTTTTAGATTCAGTGTATTTTTAAACATAAGGCTGGAACAAAATGCCTTAGCAGTATTATTATGTAACCAACGACTAGAATTATTTGCAGTAATTAACAACTATGTTTTTTGAGACTTATAAAGATCGAAAGGTCAATGATAATGTTCTGAAGGAGATTAGATGCATCAGATTGGAGACACGCAGGTATATCAATAAGTCTGTAGCCTAATCATGTAAGAGGCATTTATTTTCTACATTAAATATTTTTTCAAAATTTTGATCATCATTCAACAATTCCCTATTAATCACATAGATCGAGCCTTATACTGTGAAAATTTCAGATCTAAATTTAGTTAATAATTCAGTATAAAGCTACAGTTTATTTATTCCCTATTGTATATATATTCCGATGTAGATGTCTGCTATCGGAGAAGTTAGACAGTTAATCTTAAAACTTTAGAAGGTCAACTTTTGCTGACATGGCTTCTATCAGTCTAAACTAAGCTCAGAAAATATAACCACATCCTTCTTTTAGATTTGGCAATTAAAAGTTTTTACGTTGAATTCATGACTCAAGTAGTCGAATAGAGGATTGAATACATTAGTTAGAAGGAAGGTTGCACTCATATCTTTGCGTGATTTAAACACTTATCACCATCTTCTTGCCTATTCATCACTAACATTCTATATCTTCGTATCCCAGAAAATTCCAGCTGAAGTTACATAACAGATGTTCTTCGTTCTCTGCTTAATATAATTTAACTATAATATATCAATCTATTTCCAATATTCAGGTTTACATTGCGTATCAGATTATTAGAATACTAAAACAAATACAAACTGGATTTATTTGCTGAATGATGGAAACATCTATCTGTGTAGTTAGGATGGAAATCTGTTCGTTCTGCGCAGATGTAAACAAACGGCAGTTTTTTGTCGAAGTTTGAAATGGCTTGGACGATTTGACGATTAAAGACAAATGCCAAATAACTTTAGAGCTAGCAAAAATTAATCAACGCTCACTTAGGTTACTGGAGGGAACTAATTTTACATCTTAATACGCTAAGTGCCATATTTGGGGAGGGATTAAAGATGTAAAGTGCTGGCTTCATGGCAAGTTCCAGATTATGTTCAGACAACAGCAATAGATTAATTTTATTGAAAGCACACGTGCAGCTATAGTCCAAAAAGCTAAATGCTTTAAAAAATTATTTTATTCATGACAATCCTCTATCACATTCACTGAAGAAAACTAATATCTGAATAAAATGGATTTCAAAGATACTCGTCTGATGAAGTGGGCGACATTTTTTCTCGACCAATTGAAAATTTGTGGAATATTCTGAACTTTACAATGGCGGATGGTAGTTTATGAGCAAATATGAAATTTGGAATAATACATTACATGCTGTGTTTATTGTTTCATATAAATAAATACAATATCTCACATAATGGATGAACGATTTTTAAAACTTGTTGCTCAACATGTAGCATACATTTCCCATTAACGTTATTTTTATCACCTTTCTGCATTACAGTGACGCTGTTTTCAATTTTTATTTAAAACATTTGGCTCTGTAAACCTTGCATACGTTTTGTAATAATTATACTATTTAAATTGGACATAATGTTGCTTGGAAATTCAGTAACATAAATAATAATATGACTCTTGAAAAATCGGGTAAAATTCATAAAAATACTGACATATCGAAAGAGTGTCGCGTAGTTTAACATAATTCATTCGAATTACGATATATTGCGCGGAAATAGTACAAATCTCTGTGTGAAATCCATTCACATGTTACCTAAAAATGAGGAAAACTTAAAAGTGGATAATAATGTGAGACGCAGTTTAGAAACCGATTTTTTCGCTAAATATGTAAAGTTTTCACACAGCACTTGAGTTCCCAAGATATTCAAGTTAAACTTCCTTCACTTTTTAGTATTTAATATCAGCATGAAATAAATTTGTACAATAGGAACGGAGCTTCTAGTTCAGTTGTATATAAATGAAGTAAGTTCCACGGAAGAGAGCGCGCCATTCAGTCTCTTCCGCAGCTCAACTAGTTGAGTTCCTTATTCTTGAGTTGATTTTTGCTTTTGCATTTTTTGCTTGCTTTTTCTTGATGCTCTTTTTTTTTCTTTTTTTTTTTTTACAAATCCATAAGACTTGATTAAATTTCAGCGTAGCATTATGTAATCATTAAAATCATCTTTTTGCTTTCATGCTTAGTACGTTTTGGAGTTTGCAAAAATATAATTTTTATTTTTTAATATAATAATTGCTTTTTCTTACGATTTTCGTCGAGTCACTTTTTTCATCAAGTACATCTAACGTCTTGATATCAAATTCAATTTATAGAACTGAAGAGTGCAGACCTAGTTATAAAGAATTTATAATCATGTTTGCTTTTTCTAATATATTAAATTACACACAGAACTTCTAATTAATTTTATTGTGAAAATGGTTTTATTAAAAATCTATTTCACCGAAACTGTCTTATCAATTTCTTTTCTTTCTTTTTATTCTGAAACATGCAGTGTTTGAATACCATTGATAATGCAATTACAGATTACAAATCATCGTATATTGATTTGCAGCAGTACTTGTCCATAGATTTATCTCTAGACAAATCTGTATGCACATATTTTGATTAGTTCAAAATAAATTAATGTAATTATCTTACATTTTATCGGGATAGAATCCTGAGGAAAAATATCACTTTGTTTCGTAAAAAGTAAAGTGAAATTTAATAATTTTTTGATAATTTTCAATCATTTAGTTGGTAGAAATTCGCATTTACACATTATATGAAAAAGCTTGACATATATTCAGAACATCGCTCATATACACTATCAATGATTTACAGATCAAATACACTACATATATTGAACATTTCATCGCTCAAATACACTATATATAATCAATAATTCATCGGTCACATATTACATATTAGTTGGCATCCATTTATCTCGTGAGATAAAGGTAGTGGTCGAAATTAAGTCCTTGGTGGTGAGACTGGAGTGACCTCTCCAGGCCGCAGGCATGGGCGATGGTATATGCATAACTCCTCTTTTGCCCGTACTGGATAAATCCAAAGCGATACAGGGAACTACATTTAGGGCAGGCTTGGCTGCAGAAGTTGCCAGAAAGTTGTGTTGCCTCGGGGCTTTACTTCTATAGTCTTTTCCGTGTTTGGATATCACCTCAAGGCAGCAGAGGTTTAAAATCAGGGTTTTCTTTCCACTTGATGGACTGCCTTCTTGGGTTGTCGAGCTCCATCTGCCAGAATCAGCTGGTTATGAAGCGTCAGTTGTCTGCCTTCGCCCATTCTCCGGCTGGGAGCTAGACAACTTCTCAGAGGTTATTTGAGACCCATGCCACATAAGCATAGACAGTGGGGGATTGTTCTCACTATCATCCCCGGTTATGAAAATCTTTGGAACATATATAATGTACGTATATAAACATTATATACATGTTTTAGAAGCCGCCCCCCAAATTAACGTTTTTAAAAAAATATATATATAAAACGTCAGGTAAACAAAAACACTAGAAAGAAAAAATTGCAAAATAATCATACAAACGTAAATATCGAAAAGTTTGTTTCCGTAACAAATATAAAGCGAAGAAAATATTTATATTCAAATATATTTATATTATGTAAGATAAATCAGGGAATGAAATAACCCATCAGGAAGGATGAAGTGGGGTCATCAGGTCACTGGATTGAATTATTATCATTTTTATCTCGTAATTATATTCAGTTTCATATGTTTCAAGTTGGTGATTACCGTATATACTCGCGTGTCAAGACCTAATTTTGAAGCTAATTTTAAGGGGGTCGCATGATACATGAAATATAAAATTAGCGTATGTACTGCTGGCTCCATAATTTATGGAAGCACCTCTAAAAATCAAGATGATCGAAGCATTGCAGCTGATTTTTCCTTTGACTTAAAAAAGCTGGCTTGCAACTTTCAACACCTCAAAAGCAAGCTAGCCTTCTTTCATCATCAGACCCTAAATTTTTTCTTGCCACGATGAAAGTTTGCTCTCCCAAAACATCTCCACGTTTTAAAGCTCTATTGGTGAACATGATGTTCACTACCGACATCAGATGGGACTCATATCCTTTGCTAAAAATACTGTCAAAATAGTTGACTCATTCTACAGCTCTAGTAAGAATGATACGAGACCAAAAATGCAGTATTGTTGTCATATTTGGGATGGAGCTTCCCAATCCATTTTTTCATGCCTTGGTAGAGTTCTACGGCGTTTACGCAGTCTTCTGCTGGGATTTGACTAATTTCCCACTCAACACACTCTTTCCTCACAGAGACACGCTATTTCCATGGTAAATGTTCAAATGATCTATTCTTTAGTTCCATCAATTCAGACATTTGCAGCTAGGACACACTATGCCCCTTCCACAGAGCCGAATCATCCACATTTCATCCATATTTCAATTATAAGGAGGAAGGTCTACTCTAATTTTTTTCCCCAAACTACTACTTTGTAGAACAGACTCCTGCATAGATGCTTCTCTAAACACTACAATCTTAACCTTTACCAATCGTTATCCTTATAATTTTCACTTTGTATCACCTCCTCTTATCTTTCATATCATATACATTCAGTAACCCTCTAACTTGAGTGGCTATTGATTTTGTATTGGTTGAGTAAACAAAAGTATCGAGAATGACCATTGGGTTCTGAATGCAGAAATATAAAGTTCTAGTTGTAATCACTTTTTGTGTTGAACTCTATATGCAAACAAATTGGCACCGGTTAATGTAAACATTTTAAGAGATTTTATGGTTTACAGAAGGGTTTACGGATCAAGAGATACAAGAATGGCA